ATGTGGTACTGTGTGGGCTTGGTGCAGTACTATGTGGGCTGGGTTGTCATAGACAACCTATGGGCTGGATGTGGTACTGTGTGGGCTTGGTGCAGCACTATGTGGGCCATTTGTTGGAGGACAGCTCTATTCCAGCTGTCGTGTTGGGTACAGTATGCACTTGTGTTTGAACAGCACCATGTCGATGCTCAAACCTCAAGGGAAAACGTAACCTTAATGGCCATCTCCGGTCCGCAGGAAGACCAGCGCTGCAATATATCCGTTTCCACCCCACTTGCCTGACCGGACCGCAGAGTCAGTAGAGGCATGTGACATCGACTGGGCATTTCTGGTCCACAGGCAGACGGGCACTGTGATACCCTCTTTTCCACCCCACTAGACTGCAAACAACTGTTCCTTTTAATGTTAGTGTAGGTTTTGTCATTATTATTATTTTGATTTGCTGTTTTAGTATTATAGGGAGAATTTGTGAAATACACCTGAAAGTTCACGATATGCTGAAGTACCGCTGAAAGATGTGGGTAGAGCAGAACACACCTCTGGAATTTCAAAAGTTTGTGAAATGTCCCTTTTGGATATAAATATTTCCAAGCTACCCTTGTCAGGAGGTTGTGCATGTTCGCATTCCACCCCTGACAGGGGTATGGAACAAACTTGGCAATCCCCTGACAGGGGTATAACGCAAAGATAAAAGACCACAGGGGCATTTCACAAACTTATTTCGATTTCAGAGGGGTATTCCACTCGACCCGCATCTTGTAGGGGCATTTTAGCCCATATGTCGTCAAACAGAGTTGCCTGGTAGACCGTAGGCAGAGAGGGAGAAGAGGACAACAAACAAGGGGCTGTGACAAACTGTTTCGTTGGAGTTTCACCGACTCATCAGGAGGTGTGTCATTTCAATTGCATGTTGCATGCTGAAATGCATGATGATTGCCTCGCAGAAGTCGTTTCATGAACTCTAGCATCTTCTAGAGTCAACAGTCAATCGGAGCCCATTGATCCTGATCATCATTCTGGGGATGCATACGTGTGTGTGTGTGCGCGCGCGCTCGTGTATGTGTGTGCGCGCGCCATTTGTACCGTTTGGGTGTGTGGCCTTATCAGATGCCTCTGACGAGTTCTGCAGCAGCTTCCATTGGAGAGGCGTTGAAGCTTTTTGTTCTCCTCCACTCGCTTCTTGATGATCCAGCTGGCCAGCTCCAGGTCCTTTATGTGCTGCTTCCAACCATCATTGTGGCGGCTGGTCCTCACCTTAACGGATCGGCGGGCCCGGCCTCGGCAGGTTTGACAACCATGGCAGTGAAACTGATCACTCATTTTGCATCCATCCCGACCTCAGCTTCCCAGTTCAAAGACGTGCTTGCATCGCTCCCCGAGTGTTCCCGGCAGCAACTGCAGGCTGCTGTCAGAGCTTCCATGGGTTCGTCAACAGATAGCTACTCTCCCATGGGGACTCCACATAGTAATCCTTGGGGGCTTGGATCTGGTGTGCCTACCACTCCGCACAGGCTGGCTGTGGGATTGGGAGGGGGATTTGCAGCGTTGCAGCAACCGTTTACTGGTGCTGCCTTTTCAAATCAAGTGGGGTTTGGTAGCACTGGCGGCGCCAGCAATATTGGTATGCAGTTGCAAGCGGAGATAAACTCCCAGTTTTCACCAGCGGTAGACGACGAGGAGTGGGGCGACTTTGATGAAGCACCGGTCAGATCTCAAGGTGTCGGGGTCGAGACGCTGGACTGGACTCAACCCGTATCCCTCCAGCAAGGAGCTGTTGTTTATTCATCTGCAGTTATAGGAACGAACGCAATTGGCAAGGACGTGGGAAGTGGCGGGTGGGGGGAGTTCGGAGGTGGGAATGTTGGACAGCGGAATGACAGTGTGCTGATGAGTGCGACGACTGCAGATGATTCCGAGGAGGAATGGGGAAATTTCTCTTCTTCAGCTCCAAGTCCATCGTTCGAGACCGCAGTCGACAGGAATGCCTCGCAATCCGTGGTTTTTGATGATAGCCACAGGAAAGGGATTGCATCGTACAGAGCGTCTCGTACAGTGACTTTCGAGGACGATGACGAAGATGCATGGGGCGATTTCAAAACAGTGAAATCGCCATCTTACGCCCCTTCTCATGATGCCACAAGCTATATTACTTCCGATAGCCAACCACATTCTGCTGCATTTTCCGATGGCCCGATGTCAATATCGATACCCCCTTCGATAGATCATGGAAACATCAGTGATGATGAATGGGCAGAATTCCAGGAAGCGGTCAGTACCACTTCCTCTGCTGCAGTGTCCCCCGTTAAACTGCCAAGCGAGGAAGGCGCAGATGCTCCAGAATGCTCCCGAGCGTCTGCCGAAGCGAAGGCCGTCACTGGCAGTGAGGAAGGCTCTTGGGTGTCTGCGGAAGCCGAAGCGAAGGGCATCACCGGCAGCGAGGAACCATGTTGCACACCAGTGACAAGCCCTTCATCTGCGGCATCGTCTAAGACAGGGGCGAGCACCAGTCTCCTCGCATCACCAAGGTCACAGGGCACAGCTGCCGCTGCCCCATCCAATGCCGGTCCAGACAAGGGTAGTATGGATGAGACAGCGGCGCCGGCGACAGCGGTCAACGTTTCGAGTGCATTGGGGGACGACGGGGACGGTGTCGGAACCGCATCTTCATCTGTGTCTGCATCAACATGTGAGGAAGGTGTTGTTAGCTCCTCGTCGACGTGCAAGGAAGGCGTTGTTAGCTCCGCACAAGCTGCAGAGCACAACGGCCTGGAAGAATCTGCTGCTACAGCGGCGGCTGATCGAGATGATGACGCCCAAGGTGTTCTGGAGGGTGAAGACGACAGGACCGGTGCTGCACCTGCTCCTCGACCAGCATATATGAGCAGCGGTGACATTTCCCCCAGAAGCGAAGAAAACATTTCATGCGAGGAATGTACTGCTTCTCCTGTGGATCATGATGCCCGCAGCGAAACTGTTGCAGAGAAACGGAACTTGCAACAGGACGAAGAAATTGTGGCTGGCACCGTGCATGCTGATGACACGGTAGCAATATTTACAGAGCAGCAGACGGTAACACAATCAGAAGTAAGCAAAGAAAGGAAAGACAGTATAGGAGAACCACAGGAAGAGGAGCCTGGACAGAACAAAGAGGATCAGGACGAGCCCGAGGAAGAGGAGTGTAGAAAGATCACAGACGAGAAGGGAGAGCCCAAGGAAGCGGAGTTTGGAAAGGAGGAAGAGGAGCACGGAGAGCCCAAGGAAGAGGAGTTGGGAAAGAAGAAAGAGGAGCCCAAGGACGAGGAGTCCGGAGAGAACAAAGAGGGGCAGGGAGAGCCCAAGGAAGCGACAGGGGAAAAGACTGGACACAGCGCTAGCACGACCATGGTAGGCGGTAGGGCAGAGGTGGCAGCAATACGAGAGGACGGGAACGAGGTAGGGGACAGTGAGTGACGTCCATATCCATGAGAGGCTTGCGACAGCTCAGAGATGCACGCTCTGAGCTGTTGTTAATTCAGCCTATCACCAGCAGCAGTCTACAGCGACAACAAGACAAACCGAGTGCCATTCTGACATGTTACCCGCTCTGGATGAGTTGGAGTGTGGTCTTTGCTGCACGTTCTGGAGAAGAAACTGCTGTCGCGGAATCATGTCTGCAAATGTTAAGTGTGGAGAGGTGAGGAGGAGAAGAGCACCAAAAGGCACTCCAAGAGGTGGGCGGGGGGGCGGGGGGGAGGCCGGGGACGAGCAAGCAAAGGGCGGGGGCATGATGGCTGGTCGGATTCTTGGGGGCGGTCGGCAGGGAAGGGCGGTTGCTGTGTAGGATGTGAGCTGTACTGTTGGGGAGGAAATGGGTGAGCGAAGGGCGGGGCTTGACGGCTGGTCGGATTCTAGGGGGCGTTTGGCAGAGAAGGGCGGTTGCTGTGTGGGATGTGAGCAGTAGTGTTGGGGAGGGAATGGGCGAGGAGATTGGAAATGGGGTTTAGTATTGCTTTGGATTGATGAAATAAGTGAAGTGCACGAGCTTTCAACTGTTTCAACTTTTGGCCTTTTTCTTTCTTTTTAACATTTTTGCTAATTGGATCTGTGTTTGCTACTGTCTTCCCCCGAATAGAGCATAGGGTCATTACCACTCACTCTCTCTGGACTGAATGTTGCCCCGAATGCAGTTATAATGACTGTACGCTCTATTTAGGGGAAAACGGTAGCTATTTGGGAATGGTCGACAGTGGGTGTCGTCATCATATGGTGATGGGGGTGATGGTCTTTGCCCCCCACAAAGCGCACTTAGGAGATGACGAGAGTGAAGGCTCAAGGTGCAAGACAGGCTGTTCATTTGGCGCACGTGGGTGATCATAAGAAGGTGAGTGATGAGATGAAAGTGAGGAGAGGTGAGATGAGGTGAAAGTGATTGAAAGTTTTAGATTTGCAAAAGCATTTGCTTGTACGATTAATCAATCAACGCAATGATGAATGCACTGTTCTTCCATAAGATCTTTCATCTCTTTCCAGAAGAGCTCTGAAGTTTTGTCCTTATCGCCACATTGCCTTTGTCATCGCTTTCTGCGCTGCTTATCAGTTTTTCAATCAGTTCAGCGACGAGTGCACTGTCCTTCCAGCAGCTCCATCTTCCAGAAGAGCTTTGGTGACTCCAAATGTTTATGCTCTTATCGCCTCCGTAAGAGGCTCGAAGGCGTTTCTGAACCCAGGCCGTGGAGGTCACTTTGTGTTTACTGTGACAATGCCTTACCTGCACATGTCTGGCCCAGCTAGGCGAGAAGACGACTAGTGCAGCAGGCCTCTATCTGTCCTGGCCTATAGCCAGGGCCTATCAGGCTATTTGCCTGTTCGGCCTGTGGGACCAGGCCGTGGCCTGACCCCACAGGCCGTGTGCTGTTTCAGTCCATTGCATGTGGTGATCTATTGCGTTTCTGAATCCGTTTTTCTTTTCTTCTTTTTTCTTTTTCCCTTTTTTTGAGATCGCATCATTGGCAATGGCAACCCTACTTGAAAAGGAACACCACATGACTGATAATACCAAATCCAGGAAGAATTAAAATATAACACTATTTTGGCTCACCGGCGGAAGGGAAGAGCCTGGTAGAGCACGCCGCCGCTCTCACGACGGATAGGACTTTCTCTTATTCCCTCTAAGAATCGCAGGGTAGGGGAGAGAGAGACATCTCATAAGTAGCATATCATCCGTGGTACAAGGCCTGAAATGAGGAACTGATTGCTTCGGGCGCTGGGTATTTTTGGGTGAAGATGGTAGAGAGGCGAGCCCCCATCCCTTATGGGTGATTAAACTACCACTACCCCCGGACCAGACAGACGCGGACCAGACCGGACAGGGCCATTTTTTTTTTTGGGGGGGGGGGGAGGGCGTAACTGGTCGTCGGGCGCACATTCGTGCGCCGCGCGGGTCCGGTCCGGCGGTCTGCCGCACGTGCGGAACCACCCGGACGGCGTCCGCTTGCAAGAATGCCTTGGACACAAAGCGAAATGGAGACGCCGTCTCGCAATTGTGGCTACCTTGCCTCCTCCTCCCACCTTTACAAATGCTTCCCTTATCTCTCCCGCCTTTTCTGGGTTGTCCTTCCTCCCCCCCTGTAATTTTTCCATTGCGCCTTCTGAAAACAGTTGTGCTCGAAACCGGACCAACCCGAGGGGTCTTAAGTCCTATCCACAGGGTCAGCTCTCCTTCTGGAAATGGTGTCGGAGTCACCTTCGCCCACCACTCCTTTACCTTTCCCCGTATCTGATTGGCCTGGTGCAGTTCAGTAGGCCCTGGATGAAGGACTCTCATTCCTATGCTGTATACACCACGCACAGCTCCTTTGGGTGTACTCTTTTCCCTACTTTGGCGCCTACTTATCCGTACGTCGACTGGGATCGCTAAATATGTAATCAGCCACTGCAAACTTCTCACTTTACCCAATCTGATGCAGTTCGACTGTGACCACGGGTATCTGTTATGATTCTGGTTGTTTGTTGTCTGAAGACCAACACTCGCTCGCATAGACTTCCAGGTATGCCCATACATACACAGAAGGAAGGGGAGAGGATATCACACCGCACAGGGAGAGATAAACACAGCGGAAGACTTGACCATGCGATATGACAGGGTACACTGAAAGTGCAATTCACTCCACTCAATCCTCACGACCAGTCATAAAGAAAAGCCGAGTAGATCACATCCGGGAAACAATGAAACCATGATAGTGCAAACCCAGTATCACACTGTTTATTAAACTCAGAGTCTCGAATTGTCAGGATAACCTCAATACTATAGTGCGCTACTCAGAAATGAACAGCGCTTCACTCCCCAACCCTGAGTAACCACTCATCACACCCCTGAGCCCCTGAAACATCAAGCGCCGCCCAGATGCAGCCTCCAAAGGGAAGCGACCCTGGAACAGGCCTCTGAGGCCATGCGCCACTCACGAGGATGAAGAAGAAGACCAGCGCCACAGTATCTGATGATGACGAAGTGTCGGAAGACTTTCCGGATGGAAGTCTGCAGCAGCGCCACCAAACCCTGACAAGATGACCTCTGAGGAAGAAGCTGCAGCTATGGCTGCAGCGCCACCACCCTGGAACCCCACTCCGGAGGAGGGTCCAGCAGGGAACCAACTTCTCTCGCCTCCAGCAGACCTCGATAGCCCAGACCTCTGTCAGCCCCTGCGTGCTGGCAGAGTACAGCGCAGGTCCCAGCTATGGCCGGCGCTCGGAAGGTCTGGCTATGCCTGTCTCCTTCCACGCTGAACCGTCACCACTTCCTGTTCACGCGTAGCGCAGCAGCGATGTACTCGGTACCAACTGCCAAAAGCCCTGAACCGATGTGCCCATCCTATCTATAGACTACAACTAGCCTAGGCTCGACCTAGACCGGACTGACCGACTGACCGGTACCGATTCAGTTTCGGCCTCTTGGCCTCTACCTTACCTGGCTATAGGCTATAGGACCGTCTATCAGCATAGGCCCTTAGGGCCTGTCTGTCCTCGGGGTAGCCCGGGCCTGATATTCGCAGTTAGGGTAGCAGTAGGAAATTCAGTTAGTGTTGGGCCTGTATTTTCCCAAATTTGCAGATATGTCCCTCACGACTTTCCACTACAGGTAAGTCTCTCGGTTAACCCTCAGCCAAACAAAACTACGAATCTACCCTACCTATGGTACAGCCTCGACAGAGAGCGGCTACAGGCGACCCGAAAACAGCAAGTCATTGCATATCTCTGTGCTTGGGGTGGCCTGTATTCCCAGGTGTTTCTCCCATTGTGTCCCGGTAACGATTCCAGAGGTCGTGACCTCATTCTTAGTTTGTAGCCCCACTCGGTCACATAATCCAGTATGTTAGTTCTGCGCACTACCCCCAGTCTTCCCCCCACCAAATTCCACGCCCATTCCACCGGGTCCACCTCCAGGTCCTCGATCATTGTCGCCGACTGTACATTGTAAACTCCTCCTCGATGACTCTTACACCTTTTCCTTTCTCACTGAAACTTTCCCCTTCTTCTTGTTGATCATACTGACATCAATTGATATACATTGACCCACAGCGGGTGCTTTCTTGGTCCTTCGCTCTGTCATATTCTTAGCACCTCTTCCAGGGGGTGGCCTCCCTTCCATGTGACCCACTCTCCTGACTCCCATTGCATCAGCTTTTGCAGAAGACTGGTTCATTCCTCCGGTTCAGATACGAACACGTCTCAGCTCCCGTGTCGGCTTCCACCTCCCCTGTTCTTCGTGCCATAAGTGCTTGATTTGTCAGATCCCTCTTTCAACCCAGGTAAGGTGAACTGAAAGGTAAATAGCCCAACCGTGTGTGTGTGTGTGTGTGTGTGTGTGTGTGTGTGTGTGTGTGTGTGTGTGTGTGTGTGTGTGTGAGAGAGAGAGAGAGAGGTCAGTAATCAGAGGCTGATTGGGTGGGATGGCAGGAAAAAGAGAAGCCCCCATCCCCCCCAATGGTGATCATGTGGGCTGCCTTTTTTTCTCTATCAAGGTACAGATGCCCCACCACTGTAAAGAACCCAGCCGTCACGCTTCGCATAGGACGACCTTTCCCAAAACAACGCACCGCAACATTAGGCACGGTGGAACACAAGGACCGGCATTCAAAGAGTGCTGGTAAACAGCTCAACTCTGTGTGTGTGTGTGTGTGTGTGTGTGTG